AATGTGCAAAAACAGGATGGAAAGTCTGTATGTAATATAGTAAAAATTGATCACACAAGCATTGATTGTACTTGACTATAATAGGCAGCCTTTGTCTGTAATTAATAACTCCATTATTTCCTAGAGCCGATTACGCCTACATATACTGTATTCCAAAACCCAAATCAAATCTGAAGAGGTCAACAGCGAGGGGATGATAAGGGCATCCTTCATTCCTTCTATCAAGAGCAACCTTGTTAAACAGGAAAATGAGATGCTAATTTTGGCAGAACTTCTTGTACTAAATTAAGGGAATACTGCATGGTCTGGAAAAAAGAGAGTAATGGATTAGTTGAAATGGGAAACTAGGAGTTTGAGGATGTCAGGGAGATGTGCTAGAAATGAGGGACTAGTCATGTCTCGAACAAATCCAACTGAATCAACCTACTACTGCAGAACACGACAGTAGCAATGATACAAGGATAAAAATGATACAGGTACTCCTCGACCTATCACTACAATTGGGTACAAAATTTCTATAGCTAAGCAAGGTGGTTGTGAAATGAGTCACACCCAATTTTATGGCTTTTTCTGCCATGGTTGTTAAGTTAAATTACTGTAATTACTGTAGTGAATCATGTCATTAAGCAAATCTAGCTTCCTCCATTGACTTTGCTTGTCAGAAGCTGGCTGGGAATGTTGCAAACAGTGATCACATGACCCTAGGATGCGGCAACTGTCATAAATACATGCCAGTTGCCAAGGTTTGAATTTTAATCAGCTGACTGTGGGAATGCTGTGATAGTTGTAGGTGCAAGGACCAGTCACAAGTCACTTTTTAGTGCCACTGTAACTTCAAACGGTCACTAAGTGAATGTATGTACAGCAGTGGTGGGATTCAAATAATTTAACAACAGGTTCTCTGCCCTAATGACTGGCTGGGTGGGCGTGGCCAAGGGTGTGACAGCAGCACTGGGCCTCCTGCGCCCCCCCTGGGAGCAAAAATGGGCCACGGCGGGGGGAGACGTGCCGCCAACCCCCCACCCAGTTTTGGGCCTAGGAGACCTCCCTGCACTTACCTGGGAGCCAAAATGGGATGTGTGGAGACTCCTGGAAGGGGCGGGGCAGAGCCAGCCAGCAATTTAACTACTGGTTCTCCCGAACTGGCTGAATCCCACCACTGATGTACAGTAAACCAAGGACTACCTGTGTTAATGTCAGTTATGACCCAAAGCTTTTTCTGAGTAGTACGTGGAAATGTATCCCATAGGCGCATCTTGAGACTTTTCTTATGAGAGTCTCTCTGATCCTGCATCTGGCTTCCCACAATGGAGAGACAGATGCATCTGAGAAGTACATCAGCAGAACATACATAAAAGCAATTGTTCTTATTTGCTTGCTCATGATCTGAGCTACTGGTATTCACCACACCAAGCGTGCTCAATATTATATTGAGTTATAAATGACCAATCATGATTAATAACCTTTTCTTTTATAGATTTTGCATAATTCCTTGCAAGGATGACAAGGCTCATCTCATTTCATGGGAACAAACTCCTTAATTTAGAAAAGTATTGAGTGAACAATTTCCTTCTGTTTGTTCTGGATTTCCCACCACTCTTCATCATAGAAAAATCTTCAGTTCAACTATCATAAAATAACAAACTATAAGTAATTTGCATTGACAAGGAAGGGTACTATATACAGTGCTATAATATATATTTTCAGTTTAAATAGAAACTTAAGAAACCAGAGCCAAGAAATACAAGCAATATATCATAATTTCTGTAATAACCATTCTGGACCAAACAAATACTAAGAACTATAAATAATACAAAGATAATCATGGTGAGATTTCCCTTACCCAAAAGCTCAGCATTTTATATCCTCCTTTGAAATTATGGGCATTTCCCAATTGATATCTGTCCCCATGTATATAGCACAGTGTATACTAGCACACTGTATGTTTGGTAGCTGGCAATCGGACTGCATTTTTGTGGAGTTAGCAACCTTAATGCAAAAGCACTTTATGACTCCATTATCAAGGACACATCACTATCTTAACCTAGAAAGGTGGCTGATATAAACTTTTATATGGATCAAGGATTAAATAAATAATTCAGAGTAGACAATAGACAGATCTGGATTGTCATATGAATATGCTTAGAACTTTTCTAAATTGTTTGTTAAAACTCTGGCCCTAGGAGTTGACATTTTTACTCCTTGGTGTTTCATTCCCTTTTGCAAAGTTTAATTACTCTTGTGGTGGTGTACTAAAAAGCTTGAAGTAAAGAAATGGTGTACAGTACAAGTACAGGAAATCTTATTCATCAAGCTGAGCCAAGGTGGTCCAACTGGAGGCCTAACCTATAACAACTGAAGCAGCAAGGGGTACCGGAATTTACTTCTCGTTTTCATTGCTTTTCCATACTGTGAGACATCCTCTTTAGCAGGATTTAGGAGGAGGAGGAGCCAGAATACTCAGTAACTCCCAGTAAATAATTTGCATCATTCTTTCCAGAGAAAATTAATTAGGTATATCTGAACTGGGACTTCAGGGATAGAGCAAGTCAAAAGGAGGTAATTTTGGCAGCTGCGTATCCTGTTATCTTGGATTCTTTCCAACTTGTAGATCTGAAGGATATAGGGAGAGTGTGTGGAGAATTATGGCTACCATGTGCTTATTCAGCTCGCCCCTGCTAGTTGATTAAAATAAAATTAAAATAGCTAACAGGAGGTAGCATTGCAGCTCCAGGTGTGTCTGGATAATTATCTCTGCCCAATACTGGGCAGAATACAGTACTGTAATTGTTACTGTAATCATTAATCCAAAACAGTCCACTGCAAATGAAGACTTCTTTTTTGAAGGTTAACAAGTATAATTTATCATGATGATCCAGGATCAGTTGGTGGGCGGAAGATTTTCAATTTCTTGGTCTAGGGCTGAAAGAGGGAGAATGTCCCCAAAGGAACAAATAAACCAAATATACAAAGTCACTGGCTTCCATGCCTTAGGGAAGACTAGAACTTGGTTTCATGTTTTTAATCCAGCACCTTAACCACAATGCCACATTGGCTCTCATACGGTATTCGCAGTATTTACCTTTTAATATTTTGCACTAAATTTTCAAAATTTTGTGAGCCCTGTTGAGTAAATTGAATGAATGAATAAAGTTTTTTAATGTATGATTTTTACTTTTTAGAGACTCTCTACTGAATGAGAAATCATTTAGAGAGAATTATGGTATAATATGTGTTAGATATTGGCTACAGAGAAATTGGAGGGAAAAAAGGAGCGGGGAAAAACTCGAACCTTATTGGTCAGAACGCCTGGCAGCTCTCTCTATAAGGAGAGCTGTCAGGCAGCCTGCTGCTGGATTCTGTATATAGTTATAATAAAGAACTGTTGTACTAGCCTGGCTCCTGTCTCTTCAATCACCGAATACAACAATATATGCACACTTCATTAATGAAAAGAGAAGTGGATTGGTTAGTGAAATTCAGACGCAAAGAGCAGCTCAGCAATCCATGCCTTCCAAAGTTAAAAAAAAAAAAAATCTGATAAAAGTAGCAAAAATCCACCAGCACTTCAAAGCTAGAAATATAACTAGAAAGAACTACATATTGTAATCTCACAAAGGAGATTGATGGACATGGCAGTAATGTCTATGTCATAGAAACTCCGGTGTACAAACTCCTCTCTGGATAACACCAAAATAGGACAACACCTACTTGAGTGGTTTTTAAAATTAACTGCTTTTCATTGTGCTGATTTACAATTAGATTCTGCTGTCAGCAAAAGGCTTCTGTTGTTCTCTGCCTTTAACTAATTTTCGTTCTCTTACTCTTTACTTAAAATCTTACTACTTGAACTGACCTTAGCAACAACTTTATGAGTCACTTAATGCTTTCCTATGGCTCCCTCTTTGCTTACCCTATTTGACCTGCCTATTAACATTTTTAAAAGATGCTCCTCAATTCTCCAAGTTGCTATCAAGCAATGTTGTCTGTAGAACTAATACTTCTTATTCTCATTTCAATTAAAGCAATAATGGCTGAATTAGTCTCTATGCTCTGCAGTTTAGAAGGAATACAAGAATAAAGCAACAGCAGGAGTGATTTAGTGAGAGCTCAGTCATGACTGTTGGAAGGAAGAGTGTTCAAATCCTATGCAAGACATAGTTTTGCTAGCTAGCATGGCTCAGGTCAATTTCTCCAATGTTCAACTCTCACCCAGTAAAACTAAATGGCTTACTTGACACGATATTTGTAAAAACAAAGTACTTATGTGCCATCTTTTATAGAAAGAGGAGGAATCCCCTCCCCCCCGCACAAAATCAATCAATTTTTATCTTCAAACCATCTATAAATGCAGAAGCCAAAATCTGGTATCATATGGATGTTTGATCACAAAACTCATAAATCATGTCCCTGGCTAGGGCTCAAGAACTTGCAGTCTGAAACCCCTGGAAGACTTTCAGTTGATTGATTCAATATTAGCATATTCTCTGTTGGGATTTTAGAATACCTACCTCCTCCAAATACAAAAATGCCTATGATTGGATCCAGCGTTTCAGAAACACTGTCAGATTAGACTCTTCAAAATATGGATATAATATGATACATCATGAACAACTTTCCTTGGTGACAACATTAGAGTTATCCCACCAACTTCCATACTACCTGGCCTCAAAAACAAGCAATCCCTTAAGCTTGTTCAAGAATCAACACCTTGAATGTATCTTCTTTAGCAAATCTTTATGGATAATGGGAAATTAAGAATCATGGAATAGTGATGATTTTGAGATCATTTAGATTAGTCTAAACCAATATCCTAAAGCAGAGAAACATCAATAGACACAAATAACACACACACAAAATAAGATTATAGAGATCTCTCTCTTCTATAGAGAGAACTGATTCCTTTTCCTTTTTCCTCAAGTCCCAGCCCTACAAAGCACAATAAATTAATGCAACATTAAAGATTATCCAAGCAGACACACATACACCCATTACCACACCTCCATTTCTTTCAGGACAGGATGGTCTTCTATTCCTGGAAAGAGGACTCTCATGGCATAGGTGCAATAATCCAAAAAGGGGATGCCAGCCCCATCCAAGTCATTGGTCAGTTCATGGATATCAGTCTGCAGCTCAGCAAAAGCTGGGGAGGAAACAGCAGATTTAAAAGGGTGCCCAGATAAACCTCCCTTTCAAGAATTCAATGGACTAATACTACAAATTGTAGTGTGCAGCTAAAATGTTGTTTAAAGTGGAAATATAATTAATTCATTAAAATTGTATCATAGCTTACTTAAGTATGAAAAGAAAACCTAGAAGGATTTATGTTCCCAAAACTCTACTGGTAGGGATTTCTTCAATGAAAATAGTTTAGTCTTCTGACACTGAAGAATCAAGTGGAACTTCAGTGCGAACTTTGACTTGAACTTATATACAAAAAAGGTACTAAAAATGAAAAGAAAAAAAAACAAGGCAGAGTTTTTCTTTAAGGAAGACTAGACTATACAATAGAAAAGTGAGCCTCTCCCCTTCTTTCCCATCTTTCAAATGGAAGGACCATTTGTGGAACCCTTGGTGGTCTCTGACCCTAGTTGTTTGCTTGCAGCCACAGTGGCACAGTGGTTAGAGTGCAGTACTGCAGGCTACTGCTGCTGATCACCAGCTGCCAGTAGTTTGGCAGTTCAGATCTCACCAGGCTCAAGGTTGACTCAGCCTTCCATCCTTCCAAGGTGGGTAAAATGAGGACCCAGATTGTTGGGGGCAATAGGCTGACTCTGTAAACCGCTTAGAGAGGGCTGTAAAAGCATTGTGAAGCGGTATATAAGTCTAAGTGCTATTGCAGATGTTTCATTTCCCAACTACCAGTAGGTAATATCATCAATGGGGTTTGCTTCGTGTTTATATACAGTAGGTCACCCTGTATGTAAATAAGGCACAAACCTGATCCTCATTTAGTTGGGGTAACGAAATGTCTGCAAGCAAACAACTAAATTCAGAGAGCACCAAGGACTCCACAAGTACAATGCTGAGCCATAGATATTCTCTTCTACAGTTTTTGGTGGGGTTGGAACAGTTCACAAGAAAAAAATAAAGCACACCCTACAGCTTTAAATTCACCTACAACAAACCAGGTTGTTTGTTTTTGAGTTCTAAAGCTGGGGAGGGGGAAACTTTAGCTGAAAGAGGAGAGGAATGCTGGGGAAAAAAATCAAATTAATGGCACTTTAAAAGGAAGCTAGAAATGGCAGAGGACTGTAGGCTGATCAGTTCGATGAGAAAAAACAAACCGTCAGTTTGAAAGGCACACTATCTTATCTGTAACTAGTGGGACTAGAAAAGAGAAAAGGCAGGGAAGATACTGCAGCTTTTAATTAAAAGTAGATCCTTTTATCTGCCAGCTATGGAAGACAAGGCAAAATCCCCTCCTTCCACTCCCTCCCTTCTTCTCCAATCACTCTGTCACTATTTCTATCTACAGGGCTTTTTTTTTTTTTCATACTTCCTTTTTTTTTATTATCTCCTTTTAGGAGTCTGCTTCTAAAGCAGCTTCTGGGCCAACTTGGAGTTGGCAGGGTCACAGCCCCAGGCGCTGGCTTGTGGTGATAATGGGCAATTAGGTTTTATCAGCAGGATCAGAAACAGTATTCTGTCCAATTTCTCAGCATCTGTCTGTCACATAATGAGAGACCCACAGTCTTTCACAAGCAGACTTCTCTCTTCCTTTAAAACTTTTCCTCTTGAAATCTTGCTAAATTCCTTCAAACTGTACTAAACAAAACCTTCAGTAAAATTGCCTCATCTGACCTCAAAGCAGTGCCTAAGCTTACAGAAGTTTTGAGAGTTGCAAAAGCTGTTAACGCCAGGTGCGGCATAAACCTGGTTCCTATGGGTTTTTTTAAACCAGTATTTACCTACCTGGCATGTGATGGTTCCCCTACCAATCACATACTCCTCAATCAGAATGGCCAATGGTACAAGGGAATTCTGGCAATTACAATTACAATATACCTGGAGGAAACCATGCTAAAGGTTTTTGCCTTAAATCATAGTGAATTGCTTCCTATTCGTGCTGATATAACATAGTAACGAAACTGGAAGCAGTACAAATATGATCATTACTCATTATTTGGCAACAATATTGTAGGCTGTTAATATTGGTGGAAAAGATGCCTTCTTATCCCCCGTCTCAGAAAAACAGGACAATATATAATGTTCACCTACATCTTTCTCTTTTACTTTACTGTTTTAGCTGTTGAGCAACTCCAACACTCTTTTGGAAGGCCCTAAAGACGTGGTTCTGCCAGCAGGTCTGGGGAACCCAGAGTAGGATTGAGCCCATTAAATGGCAGATATGAAGGTGTGTTGTCACCGGGGTGGTGGGGTATTATTGTATTATTATTATTATTATTATTATTTCATCTATATTGTTTTTTTATGTACTGTAAGCTTCCTTGAATCACCATGTGCGAGTAGGTGGCAATATAAAATTTCTAAGTAAAATAAAAAATAAAATAAATATCTCCAAGCTCTAATTTTTTAGAGCTTGTGTGAATATGCATTTTATTTCTTGTGATCTAAGTAATGCTGAGATATCCCAAAGGTGCTTTTTTTCAAGAGGCAATTGGACTTTCTGGTTTTTCTTTGAAGGTGCTTCGCTTCTCATCCAAGAAGCTTTTTCAGCTCTGAAGAAGGTTCTTAGATGAGAAGCAAAATGCCTTCAAAGACCACCCAGAAAGTCCAGTTGCCTCTTGAAAAAAGCACCTTTAGGACAACCATGACCTGGATGACTGAGAATCTCCATAGACATAATGCTGAGATACTGAAAGACAGGTGTGCTTAAACTGTGAGTTGTGAGCCCCCTGCCCAGGGTGCAATGACCAACTCTAAGTGGCGATTCCAAAATGTTTTACATTCTGGTTGGGCAAAGTAGGAACACAACAGATCTCACTCTAGGCTTTGCTTCCATTTTGTACAAGCCCGTTGCAGGCTTGCCAGAGCAGAAAGAAGCAGCTTTTAACAGTGTTTCTACTTTGCAAATGGAAGGATTGTTGAATGTCAGTCTCAGCTTTGCTCGCTGCTTTGCCTGCACAAGTCTGCAGTGGGCAGTTATGGTTTGATAATAATCAAGTGAGCCCCAGACTGACAAGGATCACCCAGAAGACTGTTTAAAAACAGCCACGTGTAGGCTCCTTAATTATCAGTGAAGAGACTCATTCACTGGCTCAAAAAAAGGAACTAAAAGAAGAAAATGAGGAATCTGTCTCAATGTATCTTGGGGATATATTAAGAAATATTTCAATTGCCGGGATTAATGTAGCCTCCTCTCTTTTTTAACACATTTCTGCTGAGGAGATTTTGTGAGATTCAAGATTGGAAAAAGAATTTATTTTAGCTTTAGGAAGAGGCAAAGAGCATGATAAGTAATCACAGTGTTTGAAAAATTATGTGATATAATGAAAGATTTAATTTCAAATGTAAGTGGTGTAGTTGCTTCTTACATAACCTTAGCCCCAGTGGAATTATAAGTTCTATTAATAGAGAGGGAGATATTGCACAAATGTATTTATTGTTTTAGGGAGATATGGTGCTTGAAATATTGAGAATCCATGCTGCAGAGCCACAAAACTCCAGTCATCCAAATTTTTGTGCTCCAGGTATTATAATTATAAAACTGCCTCACCCAAAGCTAAGTCTGAATATAGGTGTTCTTACACCCACTCTGACATTTACTGGAACCCGCATTTGTAAAAGTGAATGAAAGAGGTTTTTCAGCAAAAAACAGCGGAATGACCAAGAATGTATAGGCAGCAATTTTCTGTAACATTATGGGGGGGAAAGTGAATGCTACTGTGGTTTTTGTTTAATAATAACTTTACCTGCAATTAGGGCTTTTATGAACCATGACATTATGATTTCATACCCTCAGCAACATTACATTTCTACTCTGATCTTCTTCTTTGAAAATTCTATGGTTCTGTGGTTTCCAGATAGCTCACGGAAGAAAATTGACTTAAGTTTTAGTTATAGAAAATTATTTTACATTATATGGATGGATCATAAAAAAATAATAAATGAAAATAAATTTTAAATGAAACTTATGCATTGCTTCATGGTCAGCTGAAATCATATGATGTGGACGGGGGGGGGGGGGCAAATCTCTTATCTGATTGGTTGTTTCACATGGTTATAGCCTGCAAACCTAATAGTCCGTCTTTTGGGGAAAAATAAGTTTTAGTGTTATCTAAACAACTAAATCATAGAAACTAAATTGGGCAGAATGCTTCAGAGGCCCATAAAGCAAACCTAAATCTACCCATGATGTTGGAAGATTCATTCATTCAGTACCTAATGTGATATGTTTGGTGCTTTAAAAAAACAAAGAAAATGGAAAGGAATGCAGTGCTGCAGTGGGGAATGCTGAAGCCAGCTTCTGCCTGCAGTTTTTTTCTTACAGTAGTGGACTGACAACAATATAAATGACAGAATAGCAGAAAGATGGCAGGCATCCTCACCTTCCTTGCATTCCAAGGCCACCCGTGATTCCAAGTTGTCCATTTGCAGCTGGAGACGTTTAAGGGTACGGTCAGCATCTCGAGACTTCCGTTTGTATGCAATAAGGACAATTATGATGATGAGCAAGAGAAGTCCGCCTCCTCCACCAATACCAATAATGGCTGGCAAAGTCAACAGGTTGTCAGAATAGATCAGCAGTGTCCCTGGAGAGAACTCAAACCCCCCAGCCTTAATCTGGAAGACACAATGAGAGAAAAACATCCAATACTATTGATTGCGGCTGTCTTACTCCAAAGAAAGACGTTTATTCTCTCTTTTACTTAGTAGACCAGGAAAATGAGCATATTTTGAAACTGGGCAATTGAGGAGATTCTTCAGTTTCAAAATGTTAAAGGAACTATTTGTCAGGGTTCCAAATAACACCCCCAGTAAAATCAAACTCCGAGGCTTGAGTTTCCTCAAAGCTAATTTTTATTAGAAATGTCATATTAGCACATCTGGGAAAACCTTCCCGCCTGGACTACTGCAATGCTCTCTACATGGGGCTCCCCTTGAGGAGCACCCGGAGGCTCCAAATGGTGCAGAATGCGGCCGCGCGGGGGATTATGGGAGCGAGGGGGCGCTCCCATGTGACACCTCTCCTGCATGAGCTGCATTGGCTTCCAGTGGTCTTCCGGGTGCACTTCAAGGTGTTGGTTACCACCTTTAAAGTGCTCCATGGCATAGGACCTGGGTATTTGCAGGACCGCCTTCTGCCGCTGATAGCCTCCCACCGACCAGTATGCTCTCACAGAGAGGGACTCCTCAGGGTGCCGTCAGCCAGGCAATGTCGGCTGGCGACCCCCAGAGGGAGGGCCTTCTCTGTGGCAGCTCCTGCCCTCTGGAACGATTTGCCCCCGGAGATACGAAGCATATCGGATCTCCGCGCCTTTCGCCAGGCCCTAAAAACTTTTCTTTTCCATCAAGCAGGGCTGACGTGAACCCCCCCCTTTTTTAGTTTTTTTTAGTTTTTAAATTGTCAATGGATTTTAGTTTGAATGTTTTAAATTTTGGGCCAAATTCATGTAATTCTTTTAAAAATTTTAAATTTTGTATTGGTATGTGTTTTAGTTCTGGCTGTGCACCGCCCTGAGTCCACTAGGAGAAGGGCGGTATACAAATTGAATAAAATAAATAAATAAATAAATAAACCCGAATCTGAGAGCTTCCAGGTTTTCCTCACCCAAAATAAAGTTCAAGTCCTTGCCCTTCACCCACATGTCTATCACACAAACCAATCAGGTACCCTCCAGAACAGAAGATACCTCCTCATTCTTCTCAGCAAAGCTGAGGGCACAATGGCCTTGACTTTCTGGAAAGAATGTTATTTTGACTACATATCATCTTCACTCCATACAATCCCCCCTCCCATTTTCCCACAGTAGAATTTGTGGCAGGCCTGAAGGCTCAAAGGTAAAAGATGGCTTCCAGGTCTGGCACTATTGACATAAGGACATTATCAACATATACTTTTCCAACTGGTGATCAGAACTCTCTTGTCATTGCAGGATAAGCAAAAGGCACTTTTTTAAAAAAAATCTACTTATTTTAACACTAAGAAGAAAAATATACTCGCAACACTGATTTTTATTCTAGTAATAGCCCAGAGATGCTTTGTACTCAGCATACCATTACTAAAGTCAGTTCTATCCTCACTATTCCCATTTCTAAACAACTTCTAGTTAGCACTGACTGTCACCTTTAGAAGGAAGCAAATATAACAGCAAGAAAGAACAGTGGTGAGATACTGTAGGATGTCTCACATGACCAGAAAGGAGATTAGATGGGATATAGACATATGCAGGCACACTACTGATGTCTGAAAGAAGTAAACATCAAGTTTGATATCTCATTCAAATAACATTATACTAATACATGGGATGCAAAGTATACTTCTCTGATGGATGAGGTGCCTGGAGGAAGAAATATTTTGGGTCCTTTTCAAAAAAATTCAAGGCTATAATGAACTCCAGAGTAAGGCCGACTTGTTGTACTAAAAACTAATTTTATATAATTCATACAGATGTTGTTGAGCACAAAGAGAGAACAGGTAAAAAATTCAGAGATTAATAAGATTTTTCTTTTTCCCTCTTAAACCAATAATATTAAAAAATAAAGTTTATGATCCATTTAACTTTTGCATAAACACAGATAAAAGTCAATTTTGTCAAGCAGCCATATTATTATGATTGTTTTAAACATATCCATAGCCGTATTTGCTTTTGTAAGCAGCTTTTCTAATACATGCATTTTGTGCAATTTCATATAATATGTAGATTTTTGAGTGATAATTTTGAAACAAGTGTGCAAAATCCACCAAACAATTAGATACCTTCAAAATGATAAATGGAAGCATCGGATAAGTGCCTTCAATGTTTAATCTCACAAAATAAAATTGTATCTTTATAAACTTTAAGAATTTAAAATACACATCAAAAAGCAAGACAAGATTTGGCACATAGAAAGTTTTAAACTGATGAAGGGTTCAGAAAATGTTGGAGCATTTGATTCTGAATATTAAAACTTTGAAATTAATTTTAAACAATAAATGCATTTTCCTAGGAAATAAAAGTATTTTTGAAGTTGGAGACATAATAAGAGAACCAACTTACAATGGGGTAGAGATATATTTTTGAGGAATTGCACCAGAAGCATGATTTTAACATTGCAGGAAGAAGCGACAATGATCTATGTAGCCAATGACACTATAGGTAGTCCTTGAATTATAACCTGTTGCTTTGGGACTATTCAAAGGTATGATGGATTATAATTGAAAATCAAAATCCAAGGATTGCCCCATCAATGTGGCCATCTGATCACACTTTGGGTGCTCAGTAACCAGGCCGCATTTACTGACATTTGCAACAGTCTATGGTCATCTGTCTGCTTTTTACAATAGTTTTGTGTTTTATGACAGTTTTGCTGAAAACTGCTTTTGCTTCTGGTTTTCAGCAAAACTGTGTCCATAGAGAACCTGTGGTTCACTTAATGACTATGGATTTGCTTAAGGATTGCAGTGTCCACTTAATGACTGTGGATATGTTTAATGACTGCAGTTATTCTCTTAATGACAGTTACAAAAAAGTCCTCAAACTGGGTTGGTCACATGACCGATCCACTTTATGATCATGATGAGCAAGCTTCATTATGGCCATAACTCGAGGAGTACCAGTACTCTAATAGCTGAAAATCCAAAGGATCTGCAAACTCTAATAATGGAAATCAAGGCGCAGAGTGAAAAAGTGGGATTAAGATTAAATATAAAGAAGGTCAAACCAAACTAATGACAACAAGTGTAGCAACCAGCATTATAATTAATAAGACCCTAGAGTTGTGGAAAGCTTCTGCCTTTAGAATCAACTATCAATAGCAAGGCACTAGCAATCAATATATATGCTGCAAACAAGAACTTGGTATAGAAGCAATGAAAGCCTTGGAAAAAATACTGGATGCTATGACATGTCACAGAGCCGAGGTGGCGCAGTGGTTAGAATGCAATACTGCAGCTACTTCAGCTGACTGCTAGTTCAGCAGATCAGCGCATCAAATCTCACCAGCACAACGTTGACTCAGCCTTCCATCCTTCTGAGGTGGCTAAAATGAGGACCCAGATTGTTGGGGGCAATATGCTACTTAGTATACTGTCTTTGGTGTAAGCCACCCAGAGTCCTCGGAGAGTGGGCGGCATAGAAATATGAATAATAAAATAAATAAATAAAATAAAATAAATATACCTAAAAACTTCAGAATTATGTGATAATGGTTTTCCCAATGATGATCTATAGAACTGAAAGTTGGATTGTGCAGTAAAAGGACAGAAAGTGTATTGACTCTTTTGAACTTTGGTTTTGGAGAAGACTCCTGAAAATACCATGAATGTCCAAGAAAAGAAGCAAATGGTCATAGAACAAATCACTACAGAGTCCACATTAGAGGAATAAAGGACCAGGCTGAAATTACCATATTTTGAACATATTGTGACAAAGACTCAGCTTTCTTGAGACATCCATAATGCTGGGAAAGGTGGAAAGAAAGAGAAGAGGATGACAGTAGCAAGGTGGACAGACTCATAGTGACAGGTATACCATGAGGAGATACCATCAGGCTGGGGACAATCATCTTGAAGAAGGTCTATATGTATGGCTGCCAAAATTCAATACCAAACTGACAGCCTGACAACCAATATAAAAAGTTATCTCACAAAACTAATTTAAGCAATATGCTCAATACAATAGATAAACAACATAGTTCTTTAAATAGCAGAATTTATATTTGGAAAGGGAAGAAGGAAAGAGTGACAAAATTCAAAGGACAATGACTACATTCTGTGATCTTCGCAATTTCACAATTCTTTTAGCAAGAAAAATAAAATAAGCATTTGGTGTCCAGGTAACACAAAAACACAAACAGAGGTATGCCTGACTTGCCTTACCGTCACTTTATGCTGTCCTGTGAGGTTTGGGGACTCGCAGAGCAGTTGAGTTTCAGAAACAGTAAGAGCACATGGAGTGTCTCCAATGAGTACAGTGTAGTTTAACCGAGAATTACCAGGTGCTGGTGGGAGAAGGTTACGGCCCTTTAAGAAGAATAAAAGTAGGTTTGTTGTTGTTCAGTCACTAAGTCACGTCCAACTCTTCATGGACAATAGCACACCAGGCCCCAAAAGTAGGACAAAACAGATGGCCCCAGCCTATTCCCTCCCTTCTCCCATTCTCAGGAAGGTACCTCAAAGTAAAAGAAAGACCAGAGGCAAGGAGAGGTTGTAAACTGGTATCCAGGCCCTCCCTGCAAGAATGGCATCATCCCCATAGGGATTTATGGGGATCTGACAATGTACTTGCAATGGTTCCCCTCTCCTGTCTTCGACACTGTAATGTGAAGATTCAATCAAGATTTTTTCTCTTCTTAGCAATTAAACTTAAATCCTACACTTGTACGTAGAAAGTAACAGGATCTATTAGCTTAATGGACAAAGCTTTCCCTGAATGGGTCTGGGAATTCTGAACAACACTGTATCAACATAATGTGTAACTAATACTTATCTAATAAGACCAGGAGCGATGGTCAAGAAGAACATTTATTTCTAAAACCTGCAGAAACGAGGTTGAATAAATTATTACCTTGAGGATAAGAGGAGAACTTGGCTTGAGCTCCAACATACCAGATGGCAAGGATTCAAACACAGGATCTGGATAATAGATAAAGTTAGTTCTGTTGATGATCAACAAGGCTTGAACATTGTCCATAATAAAGCCAATCTCATCTGGTCTATCACCAAGTTCTGAAGGGCTCTTGACTGGGTTATCAATGGAAGGAGCATAACACACCATGATGGTATCATTGTAGACTGTACAATTCTGAAAGGCAAATGTTAGCAGGCTTAACCATTTTTCTTTTTCATTAATTTTATCTTATTGTCAAGAAAAAACAATTTCCTCAAGCCATGTGCCACACCCTTAAATTTTTCACACAACTACATAAGCAATTCCCCCCTACTGCTAGCACTCTGTCCTCTCTGAGTTGTTGTTCAGTGCTTCTACCAGCTGTGAAATAGGAAAATATGGAAGACAGCAACTTCCTTCCCTTTTTCTAGCAAAGACACTATATGATGGGGGACAGTAAAGCGATCGTTTGGAGTGGTTGGGAAGATGAGTATCATGTCAGAAACCAGGCAGGGGAAAATTTTCAGAACTAGGAGGTTGAATGAAGTAGGAGCTCCTGCCAACGTGGACTTTCTTGTATTGTAACTCCAAAATGATAACTTTTCTTTTGGACCAGAAAGTATGCCAATAATTAATTGATTCAGCTTCTCAAACAGCATGCAGGCCCTATGGCATTGTCGGGAATCACAGATTTAAGCCTGGCACAACCCACATGTATTGTCCTTGTCAAATGTAATTAATTCCTAGGAAGAAATGTGTACTTTTCTCCCTCAATAAATAAACCTAAATCAGGAGTGTGTAATCTTTTTGCTGTTAAATTGTTAATTTTAAATTAAGTATCAATTGAAATCGATGTAAATTATTTAATTCATTAAACATTATTGAAATTACCAGGAAAGGGATGGAGAATTTTGGGAATTGGTCCACAAATCTTAAAGTTGCTGAGATTGAGAATCGCTGACCTAAATAATATTAAATTTCATGGTGCTATTATCTAAGGCAAGAGATTCTGGTGACATATCCTATGACATCTATGACATCAGTTTAAGTATATCAAATCTCTTTTGAAACTATCCAACATTTAAAAATCTGATATGAGCCTTTGCTGACTTAACTGAGTTGAAGTATAACAAGGTACTGCCTTTATTCTTTACGTTTCAAAAAAGGAGAAAATGCTTCTGGTAAGATTCCTATTTTTTCAGATTTTCATCTTATTATGAATCAAATATTCTGGTTAGACTACTTATTTTACATTCTTTTTCTTCATACCCCTTTAGACTTTCTTCCTATTTGTCCATTCTAAAGACACATGATTTAAACAATTAAATTTTCAACTTGTTCAGTGGATTTGAAGGAAAAAATTAAATTGAATAATAATTTAATTAGATGCAATGGCACACTTCTCCAACGAATGCACAAAACAAAAAAGCACTAGCATAAATGAACTCAGATTATTTCAACAGAAAGTAAAACTTTAATTTCAGGAAAACCCAGATGTACTTTGTCATGTGAGACAACAAATGCAAAAATTTGCTTAGATATCAATCTCCAAGTAAAGATTGATAAATGAACTAAATTACCATTGCCCAAACTGGAAGACTTGCCATGATTGTTGTTGTTATCATTATTTGCCTTCAAGTCACTTTTTAACGATTGTCTGGACAAGTCTCTTTCAGGTTTTTTTGCAAGGTTTTTTGAAGTGGTTTGCCATTGCCTCTTTCCTGGAGCTAGAGGGAGGGACCGGCCCAAGGTCACCCAGCTGGCTTCATGCTTAAGGAAAGACTAGAGTTTATGGTCACTGGTTTCTAGTCTGATGAAACTTACTCACTAAACCAAATTGGTTCTTTGCTCTCTGCTGTGGTCATTAAACTTCACTCAAAAATAACACTGCTTCAAGTGCTGCTGTCAATGAAGGACATAGTTTTGAAAAATACAAGATGATACAATATTTTTCTTTTCCCTACACTAGTTATGTAGATTTTACTTAACTCTTTCTGCATCACACAACACATCCAAGACATCCTAAGTAGACTGTTCTAATTTCTCAAGCTGTGAATGTGAGGAGCACAAGAAATTCTTTCTCCCTGCACCATTTAAATGTTGACTGTGGTATAAGATATCCAAAGTTTCCATAGTTTTTTTCAAAAAATTCTGAATTATGCTATACCCGAGACAACAATGCAACAAAACAACCGAGCTTGTCAACCAGGGTAATTATGGTTTTCATGAAATTCTGAAGTCTTAGAAATATATTGTCTACTCATCAAAAAAAACTGAAGGCAGACTTTCGATCATGGCTGCTCAGGCATCCTGGATCCAAGCTTTCCACATTCCAGATCAGAATGTGCATCCCTAAAACAACTGGAGATTACTACACTGGGTTAAAACTGGATGAAGGTTTACTTACATTCTCTTTCTCAGCAGTGCCATATTTGGCTCGGATTCTGGGTGCTTTGATAGTCGCCAGGTTGGTGCCCGTCACAGTCAACAATGTCCCACCACTAGGAAGCAAACAGAAGAGGTCAACTGAAGCTCCTAATGAAGAGAGTGCAGTCAATGAAACAAAGCATTCCTTTTATTCCAATATTTTGCAGCTCCCTGCTCTTTTAACTTCATGCTGGAAAAAACAATGTCTTTGTGAATTACTTCAGGCAGTGATGGGTAAAAACAAACAATTCCTACTCTGAGTTCCATTAATCTCCACAATGTACCCAGGATGCCCAATATCAAGCTTTGACTCTTAACAAGAAGAATAGTTCTACCTTTTGCCCACTACTATTCTGAAGTGCTGCCACATCTAAGGAACTTGGCTGAGGCACATGACTGTTGATTCTTGTCTCCTCGGGATGCTGCTTTCTCCAACTTTTAAAATTTTATTGGAACAATGGGGTTGCTCAGCTTGCTTTGTCTATGTGATTGCCAATGCTTCTCTTTCTATCGTCCTGTCCCTCCTTGCTCCATTCAATTTACTTTTGTGGGGAAAAAATGGTTTGTTGCTTCCCATTTAATATTAGCTTCATCTTAAATCAACTTGGTCCTGCACACAGTTATCATTTTTATTAGGCTGTGCATCTAAGACAAATGCAATCAACTTCAGCATTTAGTAAAATGTCTACTAAAGAGTGCTTTAAAATAGCACTCTGTTCCCATTCTGTGCCGTGTCACACAATTAGAGATTTGGGTGGGGTTTTTTTCCTTATATAGCTAAATCTTTTGTAACTAGCAGTACAATTCTACAAATGAGTAGGATAAGGCTTACTCCCAAGTAAGCCAATATCAAGTTTTAATAACATTAACTGATGCCACATTCCAGGCAGAAAATGCATTATTCCTTCCAGTGTTTATTTTGAAATTCTGTATAGAATCCAAAAACTAGATATAGAAGGATATATTTCTCAGGCATTGTTTGAATTCTTTTGATATGGTCCATTAATTACCAGTATAAACACAACAAATAATGTTTTTCAAATCTTACAATTTCATTTTCATATTGATATTTTGCCAAAAGCAAAGGTCTATTGTCCCAAATACAAAATATATCTTTTATTGTGGGGAAGAGATGTACCATATCAGTAATTCATAAATAACTCCCTGAATTGTCCCCAAATAACTTATTAAATAAATACAAAACAGATAGAAAACCCAACATTTGTAGGAATTTCTTTTGACTCTTGGTATTGGTATTAACTTGGTATTCTACCAAGGAGTAGATGTGCAGAATGAAGGGTGCCAACAAATACTCAGCATTTTATGTCCAAATGACATATTATGGCTATCGTGCCTTTACGTTACAGCATTGATTGAAATAGCTTAGGAAAAAGGGTTATAATATTTTTCAGTAATTTTTCTGTGTAACACATAAACTCAGGGGTGGGCTTCAAAAATTTTAGCAAGGGGTTCTCTGCCCATTTGCTGGGTGGACATGGGAATGGTGGGCATGGCTTAGCCGGCCTCCTGCACCACGGTGGGCAGGGGGCATTTTTGCCCCTCCCTGGGCTCCAGAGGTTTTCCTCAAGCCTCCAGGAGGGCGAAAATGGCCTCCCTAGGCTGCGAAGGCCCTCTGGAGCCAGAAATGTGCCCATTTCCAGCCTTCCCGAACTTCCAGTAGGCCCGTTTTTCACCCTCCCTGAGCCTCTGCGCATGCCCTGCACTTACCTGCATCCAAAATAGGCCGCGTGGGGACTCCTGGGAGGGGTGCAGTAGGTGGGGCCAGCCAGGAGTGGGATTTGGGGGTTCTCCGAACGGCACAGAATCTTAACTAGAGATTCTCCCAAACCCCTGTGAACCCCCAGCAGTCCACCCCTGCATAAACTGCATAAAAACTACATCAACAGAAAATGGATAATTTTATTTAATCAATCTTACCTTCTGATACTCCATTCAGGTTCTATCTTTTGGATTGTGGGATCCTCAGTATAATAATATGTAACATCAGCACTACTAAGCACAGCTCGGTTTATATGAATGAGGATGGCTGAACTACCTGGAATCTGACCAGATGGGGTCCTACATTGGATTTCACCAGCATTTCTCCTGTGGGACATAGGGAAAAGAGGGGGGGAAATGAAAACAATGTCATTTGCTATGTTTAAGACAGCAGGCATCTTTTATATTGCTATACCATGATACCAAACAAACTGAATATTCCCTTTGTACCAAGCAGGCAATTTGTTCACTTAAGGCAGTCCACCGTCTACTTTTCATCTTTACTGTCAGTTAATGAAGCCAAGCCTGCTCACTATCACGGCCCTCACCTCCCAATATGCACTGTCAGTCAGCTTTTTGCAAAAATGAATCAATAGCTAAAACTGGTTCACTGAAGTATATAAGTAAGAATACAAATAGCAACTTGACTAAATCAACAATAGTGAACAGGTCTTTAATGCCATTAATAATTGTGAGTTTACATACGGGTGCTAAGTGGAACTATGATCTTGCACAAGCAACTCAAAAGAAAATGCAGATAGAAAATACATCATTGAGTATCTAAAAATGGGATTGCAGTAGCCTGAAGATCTCCTTCCTTCCTTCCTTCCTTCCTTCCTTCCTTCCTTCCTTTTGTTTATTTATCACTTAGATTTACATAGCTGACTACTTAACATGCAATTCAAAGAATAATATCAATTAAAACAAACAGACATAACAAACATTTTAAAGACAGCATATTAGTCCCTTAACACTTTCAAGAGTCATATATTTATTCAGTTTGTATTGGTCTATCTCAAATACACGACTGAGTGTTTTCTTACTTTCCACCAGCAATTTTGTGCTAAGAATTCTTATTATAGGATGTTCATAACCTAATTAAAGAGATAAATATTTAATATTGATTCTTTTTAAAAAATAGTTTAAAATGGTATTTGAAAATGAAGAGTATGGGAAGACTTATATAAACAATATAAATAAATATAATCACCTTATTTCTTGGAAAATGTGAGCTTCCATGTTTTTAAAGAGGAAAATACACTGTATGTCTTTATGTAAGGTGTAAGGTAAAAGGCTTTCTGCTATCTTATTTCAAATTATACTGGGGAGCAAGATACTTTAGCTGTTGCTTGCAAATCCTGGTGGACAGTGTCTAAAAAGCCTCAGTTCAATTTGAGTGTTTGCTGAGGAATAATCTAAATCTGATACCCTTGTCAAATCAATACCTATTTGTTATGTTTTGTCTGCTAACAAAGTTATCTAAGTACTAGTATAAATCTCTAAAGGGACTAGCACCAAAAGGCCAACTGATATTCTAAAAGTACATTTTCTCAACTATAATTCAACAGTAACTGACCAGGCTGAAATTGAAAAAGGGCATAAACCTGTTTCTAGTAACAAAGAACACACTGGGGACACAATTTAGGACATGAAACAAAACACAAAGGAATTGGGCTAGTAATGAATGATAGTCATCTTTTAATACCTTTAACCCAGATTGCTACCATATCAATATTGGGTCCCTGTTTTGTCCTTAAAAGCCTAAATGACTGTGAAGGGATGTTGGTTCCCCTTGAATAGAATCTAAGAATCACTAAATTATTAGCAATAACCTTTAACCCAGATGCCTTATTAGCAAAATACCTAAGGGAAAAACCATGAAAGAGAATGGTGAATATTACCTTCCAATACTGTATATAAAATCTTTAACCTGCTACAACTTATCACCATCTAAATGTCATGACTGTGGTTTATAACTCTTCTCAAAAACCAATACTTTGGATTTAATGTAATTAATTTTCAGTGAATTAATATCACAGTACTTTGAGAATTTAATTAATAGGTGTTTAAGGATGAGGTCATTCTGACCCATGACCAGAAGAGCAATAACAGAATAACAAGAAAAGTCCTCTTCCTCCAACACGTCTTTCGATCGAATAGCAGTAAGAATTGGATTGATTCTGACCCATCATCTTTTTGGCATCGGAAAGGGTCAATAGGAAGAGAGATGCATAGAGAGAACAGATTCTTCTGACCTCAAAATTATTCTTTCTGAAATCATCCATGTGAAACCATGTTAGCTATAGATGGTGATCTGTTTATTTATAATTTAGATTTCTAAGGCCACCTAATTCAACAGCAACCCTGGACAGTTCTAAGATTGGGGATTCTTCCTCTAATAGCAGAAATGGCAAGCAAGAAAAATTGGTTGGCCCAGAAGTTTACTTGGCAAGGAAACAACAGCATTGATTCCACAGCTTGTCGACATGGGACCTAAGCAAAAGAAATGATCTGGAGACTCATCTTTGATAAGAGTTCTCAATGGGTGCAGACCAGTGGTGGGATTCAGCCAGTTCTGTCCAGATCGTGTGAACCAGTAGTGGCAACTGCGGGAGGCTCCGCCCATCCGCCCAGGCGTAATGCGCGCAGCTCACATTTGTGAGCTGGTAGGGAAGGTAAGTGAATCCCACCTCTGGTGTGGACATTTATTACTTCTCCCTCTTCAAAAAAGGATGCACAAGAAAGGTAATTTAACATCGCATCTGATACACCTATGGAAAGATATTTTAAAGTTATAAGAAAATTGGGAAATCCAATGAATGTTAAACTGGAAGAAGTCCTTGCAGAGCAGAGCATGCTAAAATAAAGTGAAGAAAGTACAAAAGTAAATAAATTCAGGGGAAACAGAAAAATTGTAATAACGCTAAAACTGCAGTGATCCAAAGCAACTGGAAAGATGTGGAACACTCCTCAAGAGTCTCTTGTTCCCCACTTAAGAAGCATAGATAGAAATGCCCAGTTGGTGTCTTGTGTTGTTATAGAATCTCACTTATACGAAGGACAGAGATTGCAACCAAAAAGCTGAACTACTGGTAAATTATAATATGAATTTAGTAGTATCACATGAATTATCAGTTTTACTACTTCAATTTCCTTACGGTAATATATTTGAATTTACATATGGAAAAAATGTGGAATGAATGTTAGGATTTCCTTGCGAAAATTCCAGGCCTGGTTGTCTTTTAAGCAGTTTACAATAGGTTTTCTACAAATAAAATATTAATCTCTGCATCTGGTCCTTCCCCACCCACTCACTCTAATCTCCTTGGGAAGTTCTGCTAAAATTATCAGTTAATGTAAAAAGAAAATAAAACACACACAGTCCTTGAAGCTAGCATAACTCTGGAGCGTTCTCCATCATGCAGCGACTGCAAACAGCAGCGATTAAGGCTGATAACCAGTAATTACTCTTTAAAAATATTTAAAGAGCCGCTCCATTATCATCCCTAATCTAAAAATTATCCACTTCATGGCTCAGGGATTTGTGTTTTTTATAAAGAAAAGGAATTCATTCTTTGGTCTTTCTTCTTCTTCTTTTTTTAATGAACCATGAAAAGAAATTCCACAAACTACACAGAAATGTTTGCTTGGCTCCTTAGGAATATTATCTTATTTCACATTGTAGTCACATGTTTATTCCCAGTAAATATATGTAATTGATTAGTTCAGTGCATTCCAGCCTTTCTTCTCTCTACATACAGGTAGTCCTTGACTTATGACCACAACTGAGACCAACATTTATGTTAAGTGAGAATTCGTTAAGTGAGTTTCGCCTCAGTTTATGAAATTTCTTGCCATAGTTTCTTAACACATTTCTTAACAATTGTTAAGTGAATCACTGCAGTTGGTAATTTAGTAACCTGGTTGTTAAGTGAATCTGGCTTCTTCATTGACTTTGCTGGTCAGAAGATTAAAAAAAGTGATCACACGACCCCCCCCCCCCCCCCCGGAGACACTCTAACGGTCATAAGTATGAACCAACTGTCGAGCATATGAATTTGGGTCACATGATCATGGGGATGCTGCAAAGATTGTAACGGTGAAAACGAACATACATGATCACTTTTTTCAGTGCTGTTGTAACTTTGAACGGTCATTAAATGAACTGATGTAAGTCAAGGACTACCTTTAGTGCCTGACAACCATTTATACCCCAAACCAAGAAAGCTCACCCTGCAAAAGCACATAGTTGTCCTCCAATGGTCACCGTGATGTTACTTCCTGCATTGAGATGTCTTCCTCTGATGCTAATCCAGGTGCCCCCAGAAAGAGGCCCACGAGCTGGGATGACTTGTGAGAAGGTAGGAGCCTGTCAAAGGGAAACACAGTCAGTTCACAGCATTCAGAGGATAGCCTTAATGTACAAGCGTAAGAAAAGGACTTATGGAAAGACGTCTAAGCAAAAAATTTAAAAATAAAAATGGAAAATTCTTCACATATCAGGCACTATGGCTATCATATTGCTATGATACACAGTTAAACTCAGAACATAAAATCAATTATGAGGATATCGGTGATAATTCAGTGCTAGTTCACATACAAATTGTTTTTCTATAATCTTCTTATTGTTTGCACTTGTACACTACCACAATCAACTAGTTCCTTTGACTTTTATAACAACATAATAATTCTATTTTAAAAAAATAAAGCAGGAGACTAAAGAGATAATAAGGATACAGTTAAAAGCAACGAATTAAACTGGCTAAAGCTCAGCATTTTAAACACGCAAGTAATTAAAATATTGGGTAAAAACATTATAATTTTATACACTTGCACATGCACATTTATTATAGTGCCTTACAGATAGGCAAAGAGATGCTTTTCAAATTTTTTAGCTATAACTGTCATCATTCAGAGGGAAACGATTCTGAGAGGTCACCCTTATTTGTACTCTTCTACTAGCCAGAGGAATACCTGTTTAACAATAAACACTGTACAGGACAATCTTAGTAACTGACAAAATTCTAGCCAGCCAAAGTCTCATTAGTTGCTTCACAGTTTTAAGTAATTTTAGAAACATTGCTATCAGCAGATGTCAAGCTCTAAATCAGTGAAAAGAACCAGCCCACCATTGAGATACTGCTGTTTAAATCTCGTTCTAGTCCAATCTAAATTAGTTAATAACTGCTCCAGTCATATTTATGAGGCGGGAAACTTTCTTAGTTAAAATCACACAAGAATCCCAGTTTGAGCAAAAATGTCTTGAATCTTCTAAGGCTGAACAGATTGACTGGTAATTTATTTCTTGGCATCCCTTTTGTGCATATTTTTACAAAGGTTAGGATATAATTTCCAAATTAAATTAATATGCTGTCTACCAACAAATAATAAACATAAAAATAGTTAGGATAAGGGCTTGTGATAGAAAAACAACTAAATAAGGTAAATCCGTATGGCAAAAATGGGATTCGGGAGGAGAGGAGATGGCGAAAGCAAATGTCTACTATTTTAACCTTACCACAAATGTGAAGCTTTTTGGAGCTATAGCCTTGTAGCTGGGAGAACAATCTCTGACACACACTTCTACAGGAGCATCTTGAATTTTGCTGGGGCTGGCTTCTCCAATCTCACAGACGATCCTACAGAAGGCACACCAATTGAATGTGTTATAAACACATGAAATGTCAGTGCTCTTGTTACATATATGAAGTGTAGCTACCCTGCAGATCATTGGCCATATCCCTATGCCAAATATTTCTGATGTTCTTGATTCTTTCTTTCAATCTTGTCATTATATTTTGATGGGCTGTTGTTATTTTAATTAAATGCCATTTAACAATTTCAGCAAATTATGTCTTAGCATACATCAAATTGGTGTTTGAACAATAGGCATATTAAAATTGCAGAATACATAAAATATTACAAGGGGAGTTTAATTTAACTCAGTAGGAAATCAATTAAAATTTAACACAACTAAAAAGGAAAAAAAAAACATTTATTTTCATTCCACCCCCAACCTATCACAGTATGTGTTAATGTAATGTAATGCACAGCCATAAGTTAAGCAGTGGAAAATATTCCTATACATTTCTGGCTTTGTATTTTGATTTACTATCTACAAGCAAATAAGAAAGACACTCACTAAATGATCCTACATTGATTTTTCTTATTACATCCTATTGATGTTTAAACTTGATCTGTATTTTTCTATATAATTTTAAACTAGATACATTTGAAGAGCATAATACACAGAATGTATGTGGCTAGGCAGAATTGACCAGCTTTAGTGTGGCTCTGTAAACATGTATTTAACTCAAAGTGGGATTTTAAGTTAACATTAACTATGTAGTGAAAAAACATTTTTTCCTCTCCCAAGTACATTTTGTTTTCAAAATCAAAACTCTGTTAACAACTCACAGAATCATTATATTTTACCATCCAATATTTTCCAGAAATGATTTGTGAAACCAGAAGAATCTTTCTGACAGAACGTCACAGAAGATTTGGCATTCTCCTTATTATTTTGCCACTGTTTTGTGGAACCAAACCCAGAGGAGGATCTGGGCATTATTATTTTTAAGCTATCCTGCCATTCATTTTTCTTCCTCTAAATTGCTCAGAGAAATGCTTATACACTTGCCATCTCATTTAATAAACACAGAAATGCTATGAGGAAGATTGGGATGAAAGGTAATTCCTTCTAGCATGAACTGGTGACCTTCATGGATAAGCAGGAATTCGAATCTTTATCCAGGTTCAGCTGCCCTTATCAACTTCGCCACATTGGCTCTTTCCAAAATAAGAAACAGTCATTTTAAAATGAGTTAAATCAAGAAGTGCTGATGGTGACTAATGCTCTAAAAGAAAAATCACAGCCATCTTTCCTTATTGACTCTTCTGCTTTTTACAGTTATATAGGATCTCATAAACAAATCCATTTTTTATATCCTACATAGTCATCTGTAATTTAAAGGATACTCACTGCTCAGCACTGATATATTCACTTTCAATGGGGATGCATATCACTTTGCCAACCCGTACACCCATTCGTACATCTTCAAACTTCAGGCCCAAGTTCTCACCAATGATGGTTAACCGAGTCCCACCTTGTCGGGGACCTGTTTCAGGAAACAACTAAGAAGAAACAAAGCAGACTGTTATGAAATCCATCAGACCCACTGCAATGAACAAAAACATCTGTCATAGCACTGTTATACCATCTGCATCTGCATACCAGTAAGTATGATACTATAAATTTCTAAAGTTTGAGGCAGGTTGACATTTACAGTGAACTTATCAGTAGAAAAACTAAAATTGAAGTAATAATCATTTAACATTCAGGCAGCCCTTCTATAATTCAAGTTATAGTTGAATTATACAAGTTTCTATCATCCAAAGCAGCAATATTAATTCTTTCTTCCTCCTGAATTCTACTATTACATCATCCATTTTCTTACTATATTAACTTACCACAATATATCCCACTGAACCAATCAGAATATGAAAATGGAAACCATAAACTCATATTCCACTAGGAGATGGTTTGCTTCAGGAGTGAAATGCTCTGAAGTGCTACCGGTTCGCTTCGCTACCAGTTTGTTTTACGCACACATATGCAGTGCGCACCAAATGCATACATGCAGTGTGTGCCAAATGCATGCTTCATGCTCATGCGCACTGCAGACGCTACCACGCAGTGCTGAAAAAGGAGGATTAAGAAGCCTTTTCTAAGGTGAGTAGAACAGCGAGTGGGAGGAACAGTTGTGCCGTGCGATTTATATTCGCTAGAAAGTAGGATTTCCTGTTTTCTAGCGAATATAAATCACGCGGCACAGCTGATCGTCGGAAATACCAGTTTGCCCGAACCGGTAGCATTTTTTTTACTATTGGTTCACCTGAACCGGTCTGAACTGGTAACATTTCACCCCTGGTTTGCTTATACTATTATCATTGGACTTCACGATGGCACAGGAAACCCTTCTTAGCATTCTTCTTGTTCAACCCTAGACGTTCTCAGAAAGCCTATTTCTTTCACATGCTATGAATTATTAAAAGAAAAGTCATCATTTCCGAGCCTTCCTTACAAAGAAGACACCAATTAACTCATGTAAAATGGGTCTTCTCTTTTTCTAGTAATTCTGGAATATCCCAGCATACAATAGTTTCTGCCAGCACCAGCTGGGGAAGGAAGAAAGCCCCAGCAGAGCACGATATGGCTCATTTGTTAGGATGATTCCCAATAAAACGGACAGGTGTGGTTTGACATATGCCAGCGTGATGACAGATGAGCGGTGTGTTACAAGCTCACCATTGCCACTAACAAGGTAATTATGGGCAATTTTACACCACATTTTGCTGGGCCCCCAGTGCTTGGCATACACCTGCAAGTGATAAAAAGGATTAATGGGCACCCAGCTGGGAAAGCTCTTCTGGGTCACCACAACCCCAAACCAAGGGAAGGGACTCCAGGGCTGAAACAGCATAAAAGGACCTAGCAAAATCAAGAACCAACTGATTACCTTATCAGTCAAGCTGGCTCCCAGTCTCTGTACTGATCCTAGATAAAGGCTATGTATCCTTTCCTAAGCTAGATACTGAGAAGGTTTAGGAGTAGGAAAGAGCTTTGGAATGCATGCAATTCTTAATTTGCCCTGCTGAAAACTCTTAAATGCTCAGGAAATGTTTTATGTTTAAAAATAGACAGAAGACATAAAAGTAAAGTCAAGACAAAGACTCCCAGTACTGCCTACGGAACAGCTTTATACTGACTCTACCAAATGCATAGGGATTGGCAAGTCTCCAAGAGAAGGAATTTCTATCTTTATGAGTCAGCCTGAAAGTTACTTCACTATATGCTCAGATCATTGTTTAAATTAAAAAGAGCATTTATTCAATTTTCCAAAGCCTGGTAAGCCCAAATTGTTTGGTTCTAGGCTTACATCTAGCACTGTAGCTATGGTAGAAAGAGATTTAAAGAGTCATTGAAATAAGTAGGACAACCTGCAAGCTTCAGCTGGCCAAGAATGTAACAAGATGTGCAATGATGCCCATCCCACTTCATGGAATGCCAGGGTGTGATTCAAAGTGGTGGTTTTGATCTATAAATACACATACCCCCCCACCCCCCCCACACACATAGTTTTATTCAGGGGTGAAATCCCGCATGTTCTGGAGAACCGGTAGCGGAAATTTTGAGTAATTTGGAGAACTGGCAAATATCACCTCTGGCTGGCCCCAGAGTGGGGCAGGAATGGAGATTCTGCAATATCCTTCCCCCAGGAGTGGGGAGGGAATGGGGATTTTGCAGTATCCTTCCCCTGATGTGGGGTGGGAATGGAGATTTTGCAGTATCCTTCCCCTGCGACGCCCACCAAACCATGCCCACAGAACCGGTTGTAAAAAAATTTGAATTCCATCGCAGGTTTTATTGTTTTTAATCTTGTAAATTGCCCAGAGTCACCCTGTGGCGAGACGGGTGGCAAACAAAATCAATCAATCAATACAACGCTTTCTATTGGGGATTCCTATTTTTTATACTGCGAGACACCAGAGTTTTTGCAGTCAGATGAGTTTAAACTGAAATGAGGGAAGAGAAGGGAAGAGATTTTGTTTGTACACTTCCAGGGGAGGATGCAAATATAGATAACACCATCATTCTAGATCCGGGGTGTCAAACTCGCATCGTCACGGCGTCATCATGTGACGTATCGCGACTTTTTTCCCCCTTCACTAAACCGGGCATGGCCATGGCCAGCGCATGACGCATCCGGCCCATGGGCCGCAAGTTTGACACCTCCGTTCTAGATTATTGACTGTCAGATATTAAATGCATTAACTCAATAAGGGGAGGGGGAAGAGAAAGAAAGGAGCTAGGAAGATCCAAGGGGGGAAGGGGTTAGAATGTCCTGCCAGTGTCCTGAGCTCTAAAAGCAGCATATCCAACTGCACCTCCACCCTGCAACTCTGAGTTTCTCTATTACTCGTTAGCCTTAACCAACTGATGACTTTATTTCAAGCATGCCATTTTGAGAATTAAGAAAATGAGAGTGCAGGGAAGTTGGCTGGCAGCCTGACATACGGACCATGTGAAGCAGTTCTTATGAAGAACTGGACAACCATTTGTCTGAAATGATATCGGTTTGGACCAGATGATCTACAAGATCCCTTCCAATTCTGTTACTCTGTTATTCTGTTGGGGGGAGGGGGAGATGAGACACCAGCCTTGCTCTACCTCTCTGTACCACTCTCCTCCAAACTTTGACTTGGCTGAAACACAGAATCAACAAAATCTGCCAGGTTTTAAATTTCTCAAACCAGTCCTCACCTGGAAAAGTTTAGTACAACTTCTGAAATGCAATGTATGAAGTCATTTTCCACTTCATCCATATCTACAATAACTCTCCCTATTGAGAAAAGGTTCTGCTGGATAATGACCAAATGACAAGGTGCAGATCTGTTGCTGCTTGCCCAGAGCCAACATGGATTATGAATCCAAGACTACAAAGCCCATCTTTGTTCTCTGATTTGCAGGTTACTCCATTGGTTAACTATGACAAGGGCCTGAAGGAGTCTTGCCACACTATAGAATTTATACAAGACAAGACAATTTGAAAACTGGAATCTATCATTCACCTACATTTAATGTAATCATGCACTGCTCTCCTGAATCAGAACGCAATGAAGCAGCTGTTACAACAGGCAACTTGAGTTATTGTTCCCTAAACTGGGCTCCTCTGGGTACCTGGTGAGTTGTGCTGTGGTTTGGTATTGTTAAATTAGTGCGAAAGGCTTCCATAGCATGTTAGATTTCCCCTCTATTGCAGCAAAACTGACAAGGGCCACATGTTTGGGGAGAAGCAACATTGGGAAAAAATTGACACTGCTTGACACACTGTGTGTGTGGGGTCATCATTAAACAAGACACTTGGGAGCCAGAGCTGGCAGGAAAATCCAGCTATTTTGTTCTCTCCTTATACACAAACTCCCACCCCAGCTCTGTCTGACAAACAGCAGCCCTCTTCATCTAATTGGTTTCGGAGCACAACCCTTCATATCTGCCAAGTGAATGTAAGAAATACCAGTCCCCAAAATGTGAAAATAATGAATCGTCTACTAAGTGTCTTGATTATTTTACCATTTAATTTCAGAATAGCTGATCTGTCCCTGCAGTTGAGAATGTTAACTACAGAGCATAAGACTGGAGGCAGAGAAGTAAGCCAAAGTTTGAAACAACCAGGGTGAATCATGATTTAAATCACTAGTAAAAAGGCTTGATTTAATTCAACTCAATTTAAATCATAATTTTTAAAGAGCAATTGTCATCTTTGTCCCACAGCGACTCACTGACAGTCCCAATATTGCAGAATATATAGCTTCATGCTATATAACTGAGCTCCATTTCATGCTGAATAAACTAAATTATTAATGTATCTTAAATAGAAAACTATCTTTAGATAGGTTTTTACTCCAAAAGCATTTTATTAAAATAAATTTAATAAAAATAAAAAAATCGGATTTAAATAAAAAGAATCTTATTTTTTTTTAAGAAATCATCGATTTTTATCCATCCTGGAAACAACAGAACCCAGCTTGAATATTGCAATCTGGCAGTCAGCAAAGTGTATGTTAGTTGGGATCCAAAAAAGGGACTTTCATAGAGAAGTCTGGCAACAAAATGTAGCATTTTCATGTGATAGATTCACTCTTCATATCCTAAACACAATTTAAAGCAAAGGGAACTTTGGGGTCAGATTTTGGACAGTAATATCATGCCAAAGTGATAAAAGACAAAATAATGGCCTGACATGGAGTGTGTTTTAATATTAACTCAAAATCTCTCAATTTCCTGTGAGTAAAATGGGAATATTAAGATCACACTCAATCACTTGGCTTGATTTTATTACAATAATAAGAGATAGCAATTGTGAAGTTTTTCTTAGCACAATTACGATGCTAAAGGGAAGGGGTAACCACAACAATCTTGTCAAATCAATCAAGAGCAACTTAATTTAATTAGTAGATCACATAAATGCTTTTTTTATTCTGACAGCCAGAACAATATTTTCTCACCGATTCTCCCAAATCAGCTCTCTTAGAGCTCTTTTACAATGCTTCTACTAGACTAGAGAAGTTATAGCTGAAGCAGATAATCATCTTTTTTTCCTATCAAAGATCTTCTACAAATCTCCTTCATTGTTTTCTGTGGCAATGTTTCAAGGAAGAGGAAGGCATTATCTGAGCAGTGCATCGAAAGATAGAGCTGAATTTATTTTTCAGCATTAAAATACTTCTCTTCTGAAAGCTAAAATCTCAGACACCAGCTTTCTATTTTAAATGGATGTACTTTAACCCTATTTCCCTTCAATCTAGCAGAAATCACAGGCTGGCATCGTAACGGTAAGCTTTAACATTTAATTTTGCTTGGATTTTGGCTAATTACTGTAACTGCACAATCTCTGAATCCACAATTTATGGCTTAATAAACAAACTGGGGTTTTTTTTGTGAGTGTTTTTTTTTTAAAGTATCTCAGCTTGCTGTGTAAACTCATCCACTGTTTCTCTCCCAAGAGAAACAAACTAAGTAACTTTACTACTTGTATTTTCCAGGATTAAACAAACAAACAAACAAACTGCACAGCATATTTTATACCCCTCATTCCATGCACTCTGGATGATCCTAGCAAATATACTATCACTGCATTTTCCTGAAGCCTGCACAGCAATACCTGTGAAAAAGCAATAACAATGTAACACCCACCCACCCCAAAAGTACACAGTAATAAACCATTTGATCTGCTTACACAGGGTTTACAACTGCAGGAACAAGTTCTTAATTTAGTTTTCATAATTTAGTAATGTAGAATTGTATTAGAACGAAATGCTGACAATTACTTAAAAACTGCAGATAAGCCATCCATATGTTGCCATACCCACTTGGTAGCTCTGAGACTTTATTGTGGTCTTACATTATTAAATTCTCTCCTTTTCCTATGACAACTGATACTTCACAACATAGTGCACTCTGTTCATAAAAGCCCATAACTCATTACTAGCACCATGTGTAGATATCATGAACCCAAATTTAGGATTCTAACATTCATATTTAAAAGGATGAAGCTTTTAAGAACCAAAATATTATTGCTTGGGGACATGATGCCTATTTTCTGCAGGTTTAAGTTTGGGAGCTCAATTTAAAGCCATTAAAGGTATGACTTATCCTTAAGATTTCTGCTGTTGCAATTTTGTTGAGATGTGTTTATAATATAAGTTGTACAATGCTAGGTGCGTTATTCAGGATCACAAGATGTTTTCTTAACAAAAAACAAGGGAACAAATAAAAACTCCCTTCCTTTCCAATCAAAATTTGGAAACCAAGATTTGGAACCAGAACATTGGGGACATATGAGAGATGATTTAGTTTGGCGTAAAATTAAAATATTTGCAAAATATTGCTATTTGTAAAATGCTATAGGTATTGGGAAAACTTTTGATTGCCACAGCAAATGGTGGATGGAATAGCTGTGACCTTCAGGGAAGCAAATTAAGGCTGATCACCAAAAGAAAAATTGTAACTGGAAAAAGAGTTGTGAAAAATGGAATAAGATCCCAAACACATGTGTTTGTTTATATATTTGCCAAGGAAAATTCTCCAAAAGGACTAGACCAGGACAGAAATTTAAAATAATTGAATTAGAGCTACCAATTAAAATTATTTGCCCTTTAAATAGGATAATGCTCTTACAAATTAAATAATCTACCATCTAGATTATTTTAAACTTTTTGCTCTCATCACCTCCTCCCACTTTTAAAAATTATGGAGGATCCCAAAAATGTTTTTGTTTGTATGGGTTATATATATTGATATTTAGATATTAAAAATTAAAATTGATGCATTCATAAAATTATATATTGAATTATATATATATTGAATCATGTAAAAGTAACAATATTGAACCCATTATTACATAAATATTCGTGTAACATATAAAAAGTAATAATGAGAATATTTTAAATTATTGCAAACATCTTTAATATCCGGCAAATAATTTTGATTTTGCAGAATCCTGGGAAAGACTTGTGGAGGCTCCAGGAGTCCTTAGACCACATTTTAAGAAACATTGATCTGGACCAATTTTCCCTCATTCTTGTACATAGAAATATATCCTTCCAGAGAAACAGTCAAAAGAGGGGGGGAACCCACACAGGTGAGAATGGGCTGTGACAAAAAGATCCCTTCCACTAGAGCAGTAAAAGGAATAGGAGACCGAAACTGAATGATGAAATGTGAGGAAGAGATTACTGAGAGGGGAGGGAATGGGAGTGGGAGTGAAAGAGAGAGGGGAGGGGATCTCAACAATTACAAAACGTGTTACAATCAGAAAGGAAACTGTATTTCCGGCCTGGCCTAATTTTCCCCCTTTTATAAAAGATTTTTAAAATTTTAAATATCTTTTAGTATTTTATATATTCAATTTTAGATTGGTTTTAAAAGTTTGGGGTTTTAAATTTGTCGGGGCCAAAATTATTTAATTTGATTTTATTCTATTTCTTAAATTTTGTATTGTATGTGTTTTTATTGTTTGGCTGTGCACGCCCTGAGTCCTTCGGGAGTAGGGCGGTATAGAAATCTAATAAAATGAAAAAAAATGAAATGAAACTGTATCAAAAAGGTTACAGCTCATTTTCAGACTAATATTCAATGGCATCTAGTTTTGCAGGAGAGATATCTGCAGTTTCCTAAACCTCTTGCTCTTTCCTTTGTTTTCAACACCTCCTTTCTATTCTTAGATGCAAAGATAACTGGATAGATATACAAACTTCAGGACTAAACACAGGAGAAGCTATGTAGAAACCTCATAAAAGCATAATGTTGATCTACCATAATGACTGAATTCTATCACTAAATTTTAGCAGACAGACTTAGATTCAGAGTGTGGGTTTAATATATACAAGAGGTGCTCTAGAAACAAATGGCTTGTAATGCAGTGAATATGTGCCAAATTCACTTCCAGCCCCTGCCTATTAGAGGGAATTGCCCTCAGAGTAATTCATTAGATCTGACCAATTGCCCTCAGAGCAATTCTAAAGATTTGAACAATGAACTCTTGCAAGACTCTTCAATATTGATTGATATTAAACATCTCAATTCTACAGTGAGAGCAGAACAAAAGTCACAGGGAGAAGCTAAATAGAAAAGGAGAAAAATTAGACCTAGAAATGGCATGTAGGATATGTATCTAACTCTAACCACTGAATCACATCCTCTATATATCATCTCATCAGCAGCATGTCAATGATAGCAGTAGCATAATCAAATAAGCATTAGTATTCCATGAAAACTTATGAAGGAGAGAGAGGATTTTACCAAATTTATTAAAAAGAGCCTCTAAAAAGTAAAATGGCACAATAAAAGTATTTGTAACAGCTGAAGAACTAGTAGTCTAAACTGACAGCGGTATTGTGTGCCACAGGAATGTTATACACACCAGCTTTCCCCAGCATGGTATCTGCCAGATGTGTTACACGTCAAATCCTATAATTCTTAGCCTCCTCTGACACTGTTTCATGATTTGCCAGGAAAATTCCGCTGATACCACAGCTAGGTAAACTAAGAGATTATAAACATGAAATCAGTAGTGTACAAAGCTGATTAATACCAACAGCTGTAGGGTATGCCTATCAGTCCATAAAATATTACAGGACCAAGTATTTCCAGGCATCCTGTGACACAGCCAATTTCTTGTATACTATTTAAGAAAGAGAACAGAGAAAGGCCCTTTTCTTTGGCAGTGCAACCCCCATCCCAAACATACCTTAAGGATTTTGGGATCTGCACAACGGCTATTGCCATTACTTGCATGCATCCAGCTGCTTTCCGATACTGGGCAGTGTTGACGGAGGGAACATCGTTTTTCTGACACACACCAGCCACACTCAAAGCGTGGATCTGCTTTCAGGCACAGCCCACAGCTTTCCCTCAGAGCTGAGCACTTGTACAAGTGAGCTGCGAAGAAAAGAATACACTCAAAGATAAATTGGTGCAAGGTAGAATTTGCTAAACAGACTATCCTCTGATGAGTAATTTTAGATGTTAGGATGTTTTTGTTTTGTTTTTTTAAATTTCTAGTCCAACCCTCTGCCTAATGCAGGAGTTCTCAAACCATCTTGGACAAATGGTTGTCCAATATTTTCTTGAAAACCTCCAACGATGGAGCACCCACAACTCTGGGAGACAACCCTTCCACTACTTAATAGTTCGCGCTGTAGGGGAAATTTCTCCTTAGATTACATCTCTCTCTGGAGAACTTCCAGCTATTGATTCTTGTCCTGCCCTCAGGTGTTAGGGTGAATAAATTAACATCCTCTTCTCTGGGGCAGCCTTTCAAGTATTGGAAGACTGCTATCATACTCTTCTTCGTTAAAAGAAATATACCTAGTGCTTTTAACCATTCATTATAGGATTTAGCCTCCAAAACACTTGTTGCTCTTCTTTGCACTCTTGCTAGGTCCTTGGCATCTTTTTTATATTGTTGTGACCAAAACTGGACACAGTATTCCAAATGTGACCTCATCAGTGTGATATAGAGTGATACTATTGCTTCCCTTGGTCTTGATACTATCCCCACAACCCAGGACCGTATTGACTTTTTTGGCAGCTGCAGCACACTACTGAGCCATACTTACATACACCAGGACACCTAGACGCATCTCATAGGCACTACTGTTGAGTCAGATAATATCTATCTTGTACTGGTACAAGATAGATTCCTGCTTAAATGCAGGACTTTATTCTTCTCACCATTGAACTGCATCTTGTTGAATGGAGCCCAACGCTCAAGTCTGTTAAGACCCTTCTGAACTTGAAACTATCTTCCAAAGTGTTAGCAATTCCCCCAGTTTTGTGTCATCTGCACTTGGTGTCTAAAAGGCTCGCCATCACTGACCTAGATTGTATTAGGAAAATAACTTGATCATGGTTTTCTGCTATACAGGATGTGCATCTAGTTAACTGAATAACTTGCAGCATTTCCAGAGACACATTAGACACACAGAGAGAATAAGTTATAAAATCAGGTCTTTCTAGACTGCCACCTTTAACTTTGCTATGCGTAAGGAACAGTGTGTGCTCATATGGGCAAAATGTTCTGAATTTTCATTTGTGGCAGTTTGTTAATTCTAATATGGTCCCCAGCTGGCTGGTTCAAAGATTAAGTGTGGAGACAGTTTACTATGGAGAAATTTTGTTATAACTGAAGGTGTTTCTACATTCCCTATTTCAGCTTACCTTGGATGTTTTGGGGATTGTCAATTATGAAGTTTCCATTCCACACAACAGAAAGGTTCACTGGAAGGTCACTGATGTCATTCCCTTCATAGAAATACTGCCAAAGAAGACACAACAGGGCACAGAGTCTATTAGTCAACCTTACACAAAAATAGCAGATACAAACCAAGAGGCAAATGAAAGGCCAGTGGAGGACATCACATTATTCTCACTAATTTCAAGTGCACCTACCTGGATCTTCCTCTGCCAATTATGACCATGTCAAAAGCAAGACAGATTGGTCAGACATGAAATCTTCCCAATAACCAGGGAACAACAACAACAACAACACAATTTTGTTTATTTTTTTCCCCAGCTGCTTCTTTGCAGTTCTGCTAAACAGAATGCACTTTGGGGGAAAGTCCGAACTGGGTACCAATCCAATGCATCTAAATTATTTCCCACTTTAATTTTTCCTTTGCCTACTTAGGCAATGTTAAAACAGTGTGGTTCTAGATTTGTAATATTCCTTACCAGTAGAGAATGACTGGTAGGAATTGAGAAAATCTACTGGATGTCAAATCACAAGCATAATTTATTTGAGCTGTTGAGGCTAATGGTCCTTGACACAAAATCGCATCACCTAATAAACTGGGTTTGTTGTTAAAATACAATCCAAGAATACACAAAACCTAAAACAAAGTGATTTTCAGACCTATTCAAGTAATATACAAGCTATAAATGGATGCTGTCACTGTATAAATTAATAAAAAGTACAAATTGAAGTTATTTTATTCTTATCACCATTCAGCGTCCAGGAATGCTGTGCACCTGTTCCTCAAAATAAGACAACAGAGCAAGGAGCCTTTGTCTGAATAAATATTTAAACTGAGAAAGAATAGAATGTAAAGCCTCCCAGCAACTGGAGACATTACTTTTGTCTCTCTTGAGCTGGCAAATACTGTTCGGCTTCTTCTACAGCAGGAAAGAAAATGAAAATGCAACGGACTTAAGGAAGACTATCTCTCTAAGAAGGATGATTACAGAGGCACACAAATTGGGAATTGTATTTCCATCCTACATCACCATGAGCCTTCACCCCATCTATCTCCGTGAAAAATAAACCTAACCCAATCTCTTGCTTCAGACAAACTTCTTGCAGCCTCATCAATATTCCCTTCACAGTGCCTGCGTGCATGTGGAGGCTTAATCGATAGGAAGACAGGAAGGCAGTCGGAACCTTCCCTGACAGCTAATGACCTCCTTTGGCGAGAGATTCTCTGCTTTTCTCCGGAGAAAATGACAGGCGTGTCAGGAGAGATTAAATGAAAGATTCATAGCTTGCTGGAGTTTGTTAGGGAACTATGGATACCACAGGTGCAGCTTTCCCCCTGTTCTGGAAATACCTCCTCCCTGCTCAGCCACGGCACTATATTAGCCACCAAGGTGTAAGAAGCCAAAAAGATGAAGAAGGCAACAAGTATCTTCCCCAACCCATGTATCCTTCCAAGTCTTGCTTTCCTCTACCTCCTCTTCAACTTCCATGGAAATCCAATTTGTCTTAATTTGTATTTTTTTTAAAAAAAAAAAGCTATAAAGCATACAGAATACAGGTGAACTGTTATGCATATACATGTTTCTCCCCAAATAAGACATCCCCTAATAATAAGCCCAATCGGGCATTTGAGCGCATGGCAATAAGGCCAGGCGCTTATTTCAGGGTTCAAAAAAATATAAGACAGGGTCTTATTTTCGGGAAAACATGGTAGAATGAGAAACAAAACACACAACAGAAATACTCACTTCCTGAGAGCTGTGTCAAATGATGTGACCAATCTTTTTTTTTTTTTTGCACAGAGTGCCAGAAACAATACAGAATCATAATATGAGGTCCATACTATAGAAATATAGGTCTCAAGCCTTAATTAATAAGGGTTAGTCACATAGCACCCACAGGCATAGAGTTACACACTAAAAATGATGTTCATGTTTTCCCATATTAAATAACAATGGCCAAGTTCTCTATGAGGGTAGCTCTTGGTTTATGATGATAATTGGGACCAGGATTGCTATTGCTAAGGATTACAGTTTTCATGTGACTCCATTGCTTAGTGATAGCAATTCTGACAGTTCCGATTGTTGTTGTTAAGCAAGAACTCCAGGAGATTCTTAAGCAACTACCTCATGATTGCAATTTGCAACTCCTGGCAACTTTCCCATTATCTTTGTGAGAAGTTAGCAAACTGTGATCATGTGACTATGGCTCACTACAATATCATACTCATGAAGCAGGCATCAAGCACCTGGATTATAATCACATAACTACATGGATGGACTCATTGCAAGGTCCTCTTGTTTAACTCCATTGCAAGTCTTGTTGTTAGGAAATGATTTTACCTAACTTGTTGGGTTGGCAATATATAAACTATCAATATAGCTTTAAGACTACTGTACTGCTGTATTGCATCATACTGTGTCCTGATTGGTTAGCTCTGTAGCCAATGTCCTTAAGAGGGAGCTAGAAACATGGTTTGTTTCTCTTTGATGCTCTTTGCTGTTTGCTGTGTACTATTTACTGCTGTTTTGCTGTGTTTGCTACTGTTTGCAACTATTAATGTGTATGACTACGATGACTGGTAAGAAGACTTTGTTATTGGATTATCCCTGGACTAATGTTTAACCATCTACTGCTTTATCTGTGTATGACCTGGACTGTTTATTGGACTGTGCCTTATTACTATTTCCTGAAAGTAAACACAACTCAGTGTATCTGTGTGTTGGCTGTGTTATTTTGTAACTACTCTCAATCGCTTTGATGTGCACATCCTTTCTACTCAAGAGTTGCTCTGCAAATTCCTTAACACTTGTCATTAAATAATTGGTTATAACCCAAGAACTATATGGAAACATTTTGGCCTTCTTCTAAAGGCTAATAGGCTGAAATTTAAGATCTTGGCATTTGTAAGATATTGTTGGGGAGTGAGGAGGAGTCAAAAGGGAATTAGTCTGGAATCCCTATGTGGGCATAAGAGAAGGAAGTCTGACTAACTTTGAATGCCACTGAACCTTATCTAGTCTGATCCAGGTGCAAACTGCCAATTTGAGAAGACTTCTGTGTAATAGGCTGGCTGGAGCATTAAAAGAGCTAATTGAAGTCTTCACACGTGGATCTGATTGTTCATGCCTCACAGATATTTGCCCACTATATGAGCTTCTGCAATGGTACCTGAGCTTGAAAAAACCCTGATCTATAATATTAATGATATAAAATATTCTTTAATTAAATTCAGCTGTTTAAAACCTGCTTTACCTATTTAACATTCTTCACATATATATGTCCGGAGTCATTGAATAATATATCTGAAGAGCATCAATTTGAGGAAGGCTTGCCTAAAGTGCAGAATATGGTATTAATTGGTTTTAAAATTAAAAAATGTAAAATATTAAATTCAACCATTAAGGCGTTTCAACCAAGTGTCCTATCTGGGAGTTGATGTATTTATCTGAACTATTATTATATTTTCATGGAGAATATCTATTTGGTCACCAAGAATCAACAACTTGATGGCACATTCAATCAACCATTCATTAATTTTCTCTTCCATAAATGCTTTTCCTAGAATAATCCTTCACCAGCATGGCACTGTCCAAGTTAGCTGCTGAAGGTAACCCAGTCAACATCAAGCTGGAAAGGCTGGTGTGCAATACCAACTATCTGCCCCAAAGAATAGAATAGGTAAAGGTAAAAGTTCCCCTTGCACATATGTGCTAGTCATTCCTGACTCTAGGGGGCGGTGCTCATTTCCGTTTCAAAGCCGAAGAGCCAGCGCTGTCCAAAGACGTCTCCATGGTCATGTGACTGGCATGACTAAATGGCAAAGGAACACAGAACACTGTTACCTTCCCACCAAAGGTGGTCCCTATTTTTATACTTGCATTTTTTTACATGCTTTCAAACTGCTAGGTTGGCAGAAGCTGGGACAAGTAACGGGAGCTAACCCCATTATGCGGCACTAGGGATTCGAACCGCTGAACTGCTGACCTTTTGACTGACAAACTCGGTGTCTTAGCCACTGAACCACTGCGTCCCTTAAAGAATAGAATATAGAACTCTAAATACAGATTGTATACTCACAAGTTCAGATAATTGAAGTGCAGCTAATATAAGCTCACATCAATAATATCTTTATGCAATATAATATATAAACTATTTAAAGGTCAGTAGACACTTGAAAATAATTGATGTTTGCATAATGTGGTACATGCAATTGTGTAAGTGTGTGTGACTGTATTTGTGTATGTTCATGTCCCATTCTTTTCTGGTTGTGTTAGACTAATTTGAAACAGGTCAAAGAAGCTGTATATAGGAATAACTTTAAAAAGGTCACGTATATTTACATAAAGGAAAAGTACCCATCATTTGGAAAGAGAAAAGTGTTTTGGGAGGGTGGCAGGGAAGGATTTAGCTGTGACGAGCAGTGTGGCAGAATAAGTGAAATTGGCATTTTCAATTTGTACTCTGACATGTCTCATTTGGGGCCCTGGCATCTCAGAAAGGCATACAGCCTGCAGCTGTCCGAAACACTTATTTGCATTTCTCTGCCCTGGATCTTTTTGGAAATGAATTCCTTTTGAATAGGGTACAAAGTGGGAACTGGCAGATTATTAACTCTTTAGAAACCCACTCTGACAAAAACAGTTTACACAGAAGAGACAGATATGTGCATTTTTGTCTCACGTAACATGACCCTTTCTATCTGACAAACATTTTCTTGGTGGTAATTATTAAGACTTCTGGTGATCTTCTGCAACATATGACATAAGTCAAGGACTTAAACAAGATGAGAGTTTATGTTCATGAATAATCAACTTTATTACAATACCTCTTATGACATTAAGATTGTGTAGTACATCTCTTTGACTCCCCTTTAAAATAGGATATTTTCCTTCCTCCCTCCCTCCCTCCCTCCCTCCCTCCCTCTTGAAGGCAATTTTGGCAGCCCACAGTACATAGTTTGGAAAGATACATTCCTAAACTCAACAATTGGTCTGCTTGGCTAAAGGACTACCTTAAAGGACTACCTCAGAGTGCAATATAAAGGAGTCAGTTCTATAAAC